GATCAGGGGTGTCAAACTCAATTTCATTGAGGGCTGCATCAGCATTGAGGTTGCCCTCGGAGGGGCCAGGTGGGTGTGACCAGGGTGGGTGCAGCCTACTGGGTGGGCGTGGATGGAGTAGGTGTGGCCTACTGGGTGGGCATGGCCAGCTCTACATCGTTCGCATCAAGGATGCCTTGTGGGGGCCTGGGCAGCAGTGGGACATATCTAAGGGTCTCTGGCAGAAGGGGGTGGGACCAGGGCAAGCGCCAAGGCATGGTCCATTTCTTCATTCCTCACAAAGGGTGACATATCCCCAACATGCACCCAGGGGGCGGGGCCAATGCAGCAGGGGCTGGTTCCTCGCTGTTTCTAGACGGCCTTGTGGAGCTAAGACTGAATGCGTTTCAGCATAGAGGGCCACTACAAAATTGTACATTGGCTCCTGGGCCAGCCTGGGCCAGGGCCAAGGCAGTGGGGGCCGTTTCTTCACTGTTTCCAGGAGGGCTTCGCAGGCCACATGAAACCACTTCGCGGGCCGCATCCGGCCCCCGGGCCTTGTGTTTGACATGTCTGAGCTAGATCAATGATAGACTGGTTGGTTGGTAGTTTGATTGATTGACTGATTGATCTAACTAACCAACTTTATGGCTCCAGTATATGGAGTATTCACATACTTATTTCAAGGTGCAGAAACCACATTTATTATGTAAGTGGCACAATGAAGCTTTCAGTAAGATACAATGGCAGAGCAAAAAAGGAGCTGATTTTGCACTGGATATGGTCTATGACCAAGATGGCGAACCTGTGGCACACAGAGCCCTCTCTGTGGGCACGCGCACATCACCCCAGTCCTAGGTCTTCAGCTGGGTTTATAAAACCTTTTCGCTTTAGGCCTCTGCCATGTGCAAAAAAAAAAAAGGTTCAATCAATCAATCAATTTCAACTTCTCGCGGGGAAAAAAAGATATTGCAAAGTTGGAATTGATTGATTTAACTTTTTAGTCCCACCCAGTCTGCCATTACTACCGCAGCCACGCCCATCCAATGGGCCACACCCACCCGGCACCCGATGATACATAAGTCGGTTTTGGGTTGCAGTTTGGGCACTCGGTCTCTAAAAGGTTCGCCATCACTGGTCTATGACTAAGACTGGCACAAAGCTACTTCTCAATACAAAACAAACAGAGCTTGGTTCACACATCAGACTCAAACAAAATGTCAACTTTTTTAGAATTTGGCTAATATTGCTGGTAATACAGCTGAAAGGCTCATGACTTGCTTCCTGGCCCCTCAAATCTCCTCAGTCCTACCTCAACAGCACTAAACAAATGCATTCCTCTTCAACATAACTTTCACTGGCAATGCTAATAAAACCAGAAGGCTTTTAATCTGATTCTTAGGGAGAAAAGAGGCAGCTTGGCAGTTACCCATTTCTTCCATTGAAGATTGTTTTTTCTACAGTATATATTCAGTTATGTGTGAGAGGTTGTCCATGCATGTGTGTACAGCTGTTTGGGGAAGAAATATGTGTATTATTTTATTAAGAAAATTTACATAGTCGTCCAACTCACAACAGGTGGCCCTGGGAGGCTTGCAACGTTTTTTAAAAATCTACTGCATACTAAAACCCATAATAAAACCTTTACCCAACCACCCATGGCAGCAACAGCACAATCAAATCAACCAAGCAATCAGCTCCATCTCCATTTAACTATGAGCCAGCAGTGTGCTGCAGCTGCCAAAAAAGCCAACACAGTGCTAGGTTGCATTAACAGAGGGACAGAATCAAGATCACGTGAAGTGTTGATACCACTTTAGAATGCCTTGGTAAGGCCACACTTGGAATACTGCATCCAGTTTAAGTCACCACGATGTAAAAAAAATGTTGAGACTCTAGAACAGGAATGTCAAACTGGTGGCCTGTGGGCTGGATGCGTCATGTGCAGGCCACGCTCTGCAAAGGCAAAAACCATTGTGATGCAACCCCATACATCATGTGACGCGATCGATTTCTAGACCTGTGCTCTAGAAATAGTGCAGAGAAGAGCAACAAAGATGATCAGGGGACTGGAAGCTAAAACATATAAAGGACCGTTACTGGAATTGGGCATGTCTAGTTTAATGAAGAGAAGGACCAGGGGTGACACGATAGCAGTGTTCCAATATCTCAGGGGCTGCCACAAAGAAGAGGGAGTCAAGCTATTCCCCGAAGCACCTGAAGGCAGGACAAGAAGCAACGGATGGAAACTAACCAAAGAGAAGCAATCTAGAACTAAGGAGAAACTTCCTGACAATTTGTCAGAACAATTAATCAGTGGAACAACCTGCCTCCAGAAGTTGTGAATGCTCCAACACTGGAAGTTTTTAAGGGACTGGACAACCATTTGTCTGAAGTGGTATAGGGTTTCCTGTCTGAGCAGGGGGTTGGACTAGAAGACCTCCAAGGTCCCTTCCAACTCTGTTATTCTATTCTATTCTATTCTATTCTAATTCCATTCCAGCTTAAACTGGCCAGTCTCTAACAATTTGAAACTATCAAAGTCAAGCCTCTTGACTTTTCCAAGATGGATTCTCGGATCATGCTGTTTGTTTGATTTTGATTTAAATGAGATAGGTGAAGCCAGCTATTATAATTTAGTAACTAAAGTATATGGATTGGTGTGACGTGTGAATCCAGCTAGTCTACACTTATTTTGATTTTTGGCAACAGGTCTTATATAGTAACAGTAACTTGTATCTTATATGGCACAAGTTTTTCAATGGCTTTTTTTCTGTCCCAAACATTTTATAAATATTGGCCATTTTGTTTGTCCATTAAACAACTTTGTATTTAGTCCTAGATACTGCATTCAATTTCATTCTGAAGAATGCACAATGGGCTATTTGATCCATTCTTCAGGGCACTAGGACTTGGTAAACAAAGGGTGGTTAAAAGAATAAATAGCTTAACTTAGCTAGTATGAATCTGGGCAATATGCCGACAAAAAGATACAATCTCTCTATGTTCATTGTGTAGCAGTCATATTTTAAATAAATGGATAATTTGGGAGCACCTTACATCAACAACCTGGTGGCAAAAATAGGAATTAATATCCTATTCATACATTGGGATTAGAAATTTCTGGTCCTTAATTTCTCAATTTACAACAGTTCATTTAGTGTCCATTCAAAGTTACAGAAGCACTGCAAAAAGTGGTTTATGACCATTTTTCACATGACGATTGCAACATCCCCGTGGTCACATGATCCAAATTCAGATCATTGGCGACTGGTTCATATATATGATGGTTGCCCTGTTCTGGGGACATGTAATCAGTTTTTGCGATCTTCTGACCAGCAAACTCAATAGGGAAGCCAGATTCACTTAACGACCGTGTTACTAACTTAACAACTGCAATGATTCACTTAATGACTGTTGCAAGAAAGGTTGTAAAATGACAGAAAACTCACTCAACAAACATTTCACCTAGCAACACAAATGTTGGGCTCAATTGTGGTCGTCACGCGAGACTTACTGTGCAACATTAATTGTCCTGGTTGGTCTTCAATGAGTTTGGTGTGATGCATCCCCTATTATCCTTAAAGTATCCAGGTTTCACTAATTGTGTGACTTATTTTTCAAACTCTTCTAAAAATTAGGCTTTTCTAGAGACTGAGTTTTAGACAGCTTGAGGGTCCCTTGGATTGTATCTGGAGCCAGACTATGGGGGAAAATACTTTTATAACACTGGTACAGCTAGAGACAATTTAAACCTGTCTCCTCATGGGCTAAGAATGGAATTAAGGCAGTGAAGAGACCCATCAAGGACAGGGGGAAGGAGTGTGCCAGAACATATTCATGCTTCAGTTGCTGCAAATGGGCCAAGGCCCAACCCAGGTTTTCCTGGAAGATAGTCAAAAGACCTCACCTGACTTATCAACTAGAGCAGTAGTTCTCAACCTGTGGGTCGGGACTCCATTTGGGGTCGAACGACCATTTCACGGAGGTCACCAAACAACACAGTCCGCCATTTTTTCCCCTTTTCCTTAGCTGTGCTACTCCCTTTTATTCTATTGGCTTTTGAAAGCCAATAGAATAGACTCTCTTGAATAGAGTCTAATTCTATTGGCTTTCAAAAGCCAATAAGAATTGTCCAGGCTGTCTCTGCCCTGCTGAGCCCGCCAAAAGTCCCATTCTGCAAACGGTGCTGCACCAGTTGAGTAGTCCTCGACTTACGACCGGTTGAGTAGTCCTCGACTTACAACTGGTTGGGGGGGGTCGCAGCATTAAAAAGGTTGAGAACCACTGAACTAGAGATAGGAGCAGAGCATCAAATTTCACACATAGAGTGTGCTGCATTTTGATTTGGGGGGGGGGAGAAACTCCAAGCCTCTTCTGACAGCCACCGGCAGGACGGCCCTTCTCCATCTTTCCTAAAAACGTGTTCCCTCCATTAGGGAGAAACCTAGGAAAGAGTTAAAACCCCTCCCCTAAATTGTTTCAATTACAAGCAAGCCGGTGGGGGGAGGGAGGAAAGAGAGAGAGAAGAGGCAGACAGCCAAAAAGAGAGATAGAGAAGATAGAGAGAAGCAACAGGAGCGACTGTCCTTCCATCCACTTTTATTTCGTAATGGCGCCCTGATCATTTACCCAGATCTCTACTTCACATTATTTGGAAGTTTGGGAGGCGGCTATTTTCCCCCTCGCTTTTATCTCTCTCCCCTCCCCCCCCACCATGCTCTTTTAACCTGGAGCGTTCCTGCTTCAGTTGCATCAGAGGCCTTAAAGCTCTGCCCTCCACCCCAGCCCCGAACCCGACGGCAGAGCTTCCCCAGCCTTTAATCTCCCGCGCGAACTCAACCCAAGAGATACAAAGAAGCTGATCGGAAAGGGCCGTGCAGCCACTCGCGGCTCAGTCTTCCGTCCCAGCCTTTTTCCCACTACTAGCGGAAAACTGATCCAACTTTTCTGCGTTTACCCCCCACCCCACCCACCCACACACACATCCAAACCTGCCTCGGTAACAATTTCCAACTTACTCGAAATCGCCATCAGCCATGGTCTTGCAGAAGAAGGCTGAACGAGGAGATGCAGTAGGCTTATAAAGGACCGCTTTTCCTAAACTTGGATTAAGCCGGGCGACGCTTCAAGTCCTTCGCAGGCGAAGTTGCTGCGCTCTCCGCCTAACAACGTAAAGCTCTCTGCGTTCAAATCGTCCCTTCGGGCGGGGTGCCAGTCAGCCGAAAGAAGCCGTCAGGGTGTAGTCAGGCACTTTGGTTGAAAGCGATTTCCTCTTCTCTCCGCCCGCTGCGATTTCAACGCGAGTTGATCCCCAGGGGGATCCGGGAAGGGGCTGGTTGGTTCTCCACGAGCACAGAAACCTCGCTCCCGCACCCTCTTTCTGGACGGGTGCTTCCTGCAGATATGCCTTCCCCAGCATTGGGCTCCCAGAAGTGTCCGGCTGCAGCACCGACCATCATCCCCAGCCACGTACAAAATCGTTGTGGATGTTTTTTTGTTTTTAGGATAGGACATATTTGATTTAACGGGTCTAAAATCAAAACATACACAATAGGCTCATTCGAGCGTGCTAAAGCAACGATTGCAAACGGCTAACAAACCAAGCCAAAAAATAATAATGATTGCAAAATGATAACAACAAAACCCATTTTTTTTAAAAAAATGTGTTTCTGTTGGAAGAAAAAGGGCTGAGCTCTAAGCAGGAATTTCAACCATCTTGTTTAAAATACTTTAAAAATAATAAAAGAAAAAACAACACAAATACAATTATAATGCAGAAGCATGCTTTTTTAAAAAAAAAACAAAACCTCACAAATCCTGAAAAGTGCTTTTAAAAAAAAAAAAGAAAGAAAGAAAACAAAAAATGCAAAGTATATAATAGTTATAATTCTATACATATCTAAATATTACTAAAGTGTATACATATTTATAATACATTTGTATAACATCATTCATCTTTAACTTACAGTATAGATGAGTTCCCATTTCATTATATTTGTCCATACAAAGTTTACATCTAGGCAATCCATCCACTCATAGGAGTGAATGGACCATTTCTCTTTACAATGCTACAGTATCAGTCTCTTGGCTACAGCAAGGGCAAGGAGAGTACATTTACATTATTCAGTTGTTAAATTCCATATAATAGTTAATATACAGGTAGTCCTTGACTTACGACCACAACTGAGCCAAAAATTTATGTTGCTAAGTGAGACATTTGTTAAGTGAGTTTTGCCCCATTTTATGACCTTTCTTGCCACAGTTGTTAAGTGAATCATTGCAGCTAGTAGTACGGTTGTTAAGTGAATCTGGCTTCCCCATTGACTTTGTTGTCAGAATATCGCAAAAGGGGATCACATCGCAGTCATAAATATCAGTCAGTTGCCAAGCATCCTAATTTTGATCACGTGACCATGGGGATGCTGCAACTGGCCATAAGTGTGAAAAAGACTCATAAGTCACTTTTCTCAGTGCTATTCTAATTTTGAACAGTCACTAAATGTAACTTGTAAGTCAAGGACTACATGTAATTCGAGAGAATATTATCCTCTGAAATTTTTAACATTTGCCACGCACTCATATTTATATAATCTACTATTTTCCCAGAATAGGACATTGTAAAAACCTGCGCCTTAAAGAATCATCCTTATTACATCTCCAATAAAATGCTTAGATCAGTGGTTCTCAACCTTTTTAATGCCGCAACCCCCAACCGGTTGTAAGTCGAGGACTACTCAACCGGTCGTAAGTCGAGGACTACTCAACTGGTGCAGCACCGTTTGCAGAATGGGACTTTTGGCGGGCTCAGCAGGGCAGAGACAGCTTCGACAATTCCTATTGGCTTTTGAAAGCCAATAGAATTAGACTCTATTCAAGAGTAAAAGATGTAAAAGAGTAAAAGATGTGTTATATGAGTAAATGAACTACTACACATAACTATTCAAGTCACTGCATTTTGGATCAATTGTAGCCTCTCAAAGGCAGCCCCATGTTAGAACATATGCAATAATCAAAACAAGTCTTGATCAAGGAATAAGTGATTATAAGCAGGGCATCTTGATCCAAGAGAAATCATGACTAGTACACAAGATGCAATATATAAAGGCTTCTAACTATGGTTAGTAAAAGTGCAGTAGACTTTTTGGGCATAGGGAGGAAAAAGGCAAAGAAGAAATGTTAGAAATCTACTTTATTGAATCAGGTTTATGTGACCACTCTGTGTTAACCTAATAATTCCGGGCAGTTTGATAGGATTTTCATATACAAAAACAAAGTTCCCCAACTTTTTTCCACTATTTGTCCATCGGTCCCACAAGGAAAAACCATGAATTCCAGTTCCACTTTAGGCATGAAGTCAGCTGGATGACCTTGGGCCAGTCCTCCTCACTCTGCCTTAGAAAGCAAATCATGGCAAACCACTACTAGGAAAAAAAACTTGCCAGGAAAATTGCACAGATTAGTCCAAGCAGTTGCCAGGGGTCAACACTAAGGCCCAATAACAACCTAATAACAATCATTCATAGGACACACTCCTTTCCAAAATATTCATTGTTTGTATTCTTTTCCTAAATTCCTAATGTCTATATACCCACAGCAGAACGGGTGGAGAAAAACAATTTTAAGGCCAGAAAGGTTATGGATTCTGGCAAATGCCATAATAGATTAGACTCGACTCAATACTTATTACTATGTAGTCTAGAAGCAGCAGAATAAATCACTTTCCCCCCCCCCAAAAAAGAAGAGGATGGGCAGAAAAAATCCACTCAAGAACATTTCTTGGGTGTGGAACTGGATTAACTGAGGTTATTTGTTCAAAGAGAAAGAACTGAACCAACAGCGGTGTTATGTCCTGAGCCTGTGCAAGCAGGCTCGGGGCATTGCAAATGGTCCCGGGCAGGTGCAAGCTGCCCGGGACCAGGCAGGCTGTCGCCAGTACTTGTGCGCATGCGCAAGTGCTGGCGTGCCAAAAGTTGCAGATTGACCTGGGAAAGGCCTAGTTTTGGGCGTTGCCGGCGTCTTCCAACTGTAAGCTGAACTAAGAATAAAGAAGTTCTGAGAACTACAACTGCTTCTCGTGTCTTGCCATTTCGCGAAGGACGTAACACTGGCGACGAAGGTGGGATGCCTTACATCAACAAAAGGTGTAAGCTTACCCGAGTGAGTCCTGAGCGGCAGGAACGGCGTTGACTCGGCAGCTACCCGCCAATCCAGCGTGCATTCGGGGGTAGGCTGGCTGATAGACCCTTCCTTCTACAAAATGGCAAAAATTGGAAGGCTTTCGGAATTCGACGTCTCACATCCAGAGAGGTGGGAGTCCTACGTAGCCAGGGTGGAAAACTATCTCAAGGTAAATCAAGTACGGGAAGATAGTTTAAAGGCTGCCACCCTGCTGTGCGTTTGCGGTCAAGACGCATTCGAAATCGCTGAGAACCTTGCAGCACCTGTTCCTCTAGAGTCTGTCAGCTACGCAGATCTAAAAAAGCTACTGAAGGAGCACTTCCAGCCCAAGATGTCCGTCATCGCGTGGTGCCACACCTTTGAGCAGAGGGATCAACGAGCCGGAGAATCGGCCAAGGAGTACATCGCCGCGCTGAGGAAAGCCGCCAAACATAGCGAGTTCAAGGACCTCGAAGAACGACTGAGGGACAGATTTGTATGCGAACTAAGGCATAGGGAGTTACAACAGAGACTTTTTGCCAAGGAGGACTTGTCATTCCAAGATGCCTTGAGAGAGGTCACCGCAGAAGAAGCAGCGGGCGGCGCCATCAAGAACATGCGGCCGATCAGAAGCAGTCCTGATGCTGCGTCCGTGCACCAGGAAGAAGTCCAAAGGAACTCTGAGGAGGATCCTGATGAGGAAGTGGACCGTCTCCACCCCACAAAGGAAGGGAAACAAAAAGGAAGCTCTTCAGCTCTCCCCAAGTGCATCGGTTGTGGAGGTCGCCACAAGAGAACCGACTGCAAGTTCCGCTCCGCTATCTGCAGGGCGTGCGGAAAACAAAGACACATTGCAGCTGTGTGCCTGGGCCCTCAGAAGGTACAACCTCAGGAAGAATTGCACCTGAAAGGTACCAGGGTTCCCAGCCAGAATAGGGTGGGGTTTTGCACTTCACGAAGAAGCATCTATAGGACAGGCACACACAAGCCCATTAAGAAAAAGCTGTCACTTAAGGTGAAGCTACAAGAGGTTCCATTGACTATGGAACTGGATACGGGGTCTGCACTTTCGATCATTTCTATGCATACATTTAGGAAGATTTGTTCCGGCAGTGGAACTCAGGCCAAGTTGAGGCCTTCTGACATTGTGTTAACAGACTTTCAAAACTCCAGAGTGTGTGTTAAGGGGGAGGCCACCCTTAACGTACAGTATAAGGATTTTGAGGGTCCACTAGACCTATTAGTAGTAGGGGGTGAACGAACGAGTCTCATAGGACTCGATTGGTTTGAGGCCTTGGGAATACACGTCACAGGGCTCAATAGTCTGCAAACACTCGACCTACAGGAAGTCTGCAAAGAATTTGCAGATGTCTTCAGCCCCCAGCTGGGCACATTCAAAGGACCCCCTGTGTCATTAAAGCTAGACCCCACTGTCACTCCCATTAGAATTAAGGCAAGAAGGGTCCCTTTTGCTTTAAAGAGTAAAATTGACACTGAGTTGGACAAACTGATCCAAAAAGGAATTCTAGAACCTGTTGACTCCAGTCCCTGGGAGACCCCATTGTCACGCCTCTCAAGGCAAATGGGGACATTCGCATCTGTGCTGATTACAAATGCACTCTGAATAAGGCATTGCAGCAACATGCCTATCCTGTTCCTGTGGTCAGTCATATTCTGGCCTCCCTCAAGGGGGGGCGTGTTTTTGCAAAGCTTGACCTAGCTCAGGCATATCAACAGCTGCCTGTTGATGATGATGCTGTTATAGCTCAGAGCATTGTGACCCACAGAGGGGCTTTCAAGGTGAAGAGGCTACAGTTTGGAGTAAATGTCGCTCCTCGGATTTTCCAAAGCGTAATGGAAAACACACTACGGGGTATACCAGGGGTTTGCCCCTATTTTTATGATGTCTTAATTGCAGGAGACTCTACACACAACTTAGCTGAAAGGTTAAGGGCTGTCCTGTTAAGGTTCAGGAAAACAGGCCTCAAACTTAAGAAGGACAAATGCAAAATCGGGGTGCCTTCTACTGATTTTCTGGGATTCAGAATTGATGCTACTGGGATTCACCCTGCTGAATCCAAACTGAAAGCTATCATGCATGCTCCTAGGCCAAAGTCTAAGGCCGAACTACAGGCTTTTCTGGGCCTTCTGAATTTCTACAATTCCTTTCTCCCACATAAGGCTAGTGTAGCTGAGCCTCTTCACAGGCTATTAGACAAACAGGCAGTGTGGCAGTGGTCACAAAAACATGAGGCAAGTTTCAATGAGGTCAAGGCCTTACTCACTTCTAACAGTGTA